GATTTTCAAATTAGATTTAAATTAACTATATAGGCTAGGTGCTGGAAAAAGGAACGAAATTGACAAAAAAAAAATTCTTTAGAAAATCAATTATTATGTTATAAATCCTATAATTGATTATAAGAAAACACAAAATTTTAATAAGCTATACTGCAAAATTTTATTAATATAACTATTTTGTGTCTTAAATGAAAAAGTCATAATCTTATTCTAAAATCAATTTATATAAAAACATTATTTTGAAACAATTATTAATTTTATCTTTTATTTCATATTTTTAGTATCAAAAATTTATTATATAAATAAATATTTTTTCTTACTTTATATATAAATTTTAGTTTGTACATCACATCCTAAAATAAATTTTTATTTATATATCCAAATGTTGTTTCAACCAGAGGTATTTTTAATTTAATACCCCGATCACTATATCAAGATCACGGGGTATTAATTAATAATACCCTGACTGTATGTGAATCAGCGTAAACGAAGTTTCCGCTAATCCCCAACGGATCAGGATATTATTATTATATATATACCGGTATAGATTAAATTTTTTAGCCAGATGTCATTATAATCAGAGTGACTTATAATTTGCATCTTGGTATTATTCTTTAGATAAGGCCTTTAAACTAATTTTATCTTATTTTATGTCCCAAATTCACTATAAAATTGTTTAAACAATAAAATTTCATTTTTATTGAAAACAATCTATTTTATCTCAGTTTTATTTTCTTGTCCAGTATGATTTGCTGATTTGGGAATTTAATTATTACATCTATATTAAACCTTTATATAGATGCCAACTCTATATAAAAAATGTACTGTAATTGTATGAGTTGGTATGGATTTTGTACATAAGAGGCTCAGATTTTTGGCTCGTGTTGAACTGTATACCAGTGTCAAGGGACCGTTAATGACTTGGGTTTTGCAAAACTTTAATATTGCATGTTTTTTCTTTAAGCTTTTTTCACTAGTATAAATATGAGTTCCAAATATGAATACTTATTTGGTTTATGAGAACCATTGTAAAATTGAACAATGTTAACAGCTTAATAAACATATTTATTAAATGATTTTGTAAAATATAAAGTAAACCTTCATTTTAAATTTTGAAAAAATTTAATAAATAAATATTCATATGATGCAAGTTTTTAAGAAAAGTAAAATATCATACTATCTATAAGTGCAGAAAAATGTTAAATTACAGAAATAAGAAGCAGTATTTATTATTTGATAACATAGATAATAAGCTGAAAATTAGCTTTAGTCAATTTTTTCATCATTACTGTAGCAAGCATTACTACATACAATATTTGTAATTTTATTTTTTTAATACATATTTAGCTAAAACAATAAGCACAGTGTAAGTAGATATATATTACATCACTATTCTTGTAAACAATACAATGATTAGAACTACATAAGCTAAAAATCTAAACAATTATTAGAATTTGATTCTTTAGTAATATTATCAAAATGGTTGAGATTTTGTTTAGATAATTTAACAGCTATTTTAAAGAAAAAAAATTAATCATTCAGCTTCTTGCAATTGTTGAACTTAAAACATATAGGGTTTCCTACAGGTTTGTAGTATGGAATATTATTTAGAATATCATAACCAATTAGAGTATGTTTTTGCCATAAATAGATTTTATCAGTTATAATCCAGTCTGACCAATTGGTCTCATTGCCTAAGCATATAAGCCAAAGTCTTGAAGCTTTAAAAATTTTTGCACTATTACCATATCCAACAGGATAAGCAGCATGTGATTGCCAACCTTTCTTTGCATAATTCTATTTTTTTTTTAAATATAGAATTATGGTTATTGTTGAACTACTATCAATTACTATTCAGAAGCTTTACTTTGTATTTGTTATCTTTGCTTCATCTGTAGTATTTTCTGTATTTCGAAGCCAAAGATATATCTACATTTGGCAAAAGTAATCCCCAAAGATGTCATCATTGACATTAACAGATATTATATTCATTACAATATCTGTCAGTAATAAGTAGTAAATAATACTCTTTTCTTGTATGATCATCATTTGTATATTACAACATGATGCTTAACAGTGGGTATATAAATATCCTGGATATTCTTCCCTAAATTTTTCATATTCTTCTGAAGATATGTCATTACCATACTTGCTAATTTTTCCATAAATAAGTAATATATGGGTTCCTTTTGATGGATCAAGAGATTTAAATTCGATTAAGCAACGATATGCAATTGTATTTGTAGTAAGCTTATCACCATCTGGATACCACTTGGGATCAATAATGTAATAAAAAACCAGATTATGCTCATAAACATCTATTGTTGAAGGCCAAACAAAGTTTGTGCCAGCAAAGTCTAAATAAAAAGGATAAATATTAATAAAAATTTGAGTAAGCTTGATCAAATTTATTACACACCATAGAATTTTTTTCATTCACTTTTGTTTTCTGTAAATCTTCTGAGCTCCAATCTTTCTGCAAATCTTTCTAAGTCTGGAATTTCATCTACATCATTATTTGTAACTTCAGGCTTTGAATTGAATTTGAAAATACAGTATGATTCTAAGAACAAGAAATGACTACCTGAAGCTTTTTTTTAAATATTTTTGACAACTTGGAAATCCAGGCTATGCACATTCTATTTATGAAACCTATATTATAAATTTTTGGGAAGGAACTGTCCTTTTAAGAAAATGATTCAATATTTGTAAAAAAATTTTTTACAGATACGATAAAATCATTACGTAATTAATAAATCAAAAAGCATTGCAAGCACGTGATATATAGTTAGTTGGATGCACCACCCCGTAGCAATGCGGCTATTTGGTAATAAAATGTTATGAATAGTTACGTGACCTTTAGAGATGTCATCCATATTGTGAAATACGTTCTTAATTAAGAAAGATCCTTCACTGAATGAATGAAATGGAAAGATTAACGTTCGAAAAATTCTGAAATGGCTAAATTAGCCTATCAAAAATTATAAAAGAGAAATTAATATATACTAGATACATAATATAAACTCCGTTGGTAAAATATCATTTCCATTTCATAAATCGAAAATACTAAAGATGAGTCTCGACGATTTTAGAAGGCAATTGATGTCAAATTTGGATTATGATTTCTGAGTAGAGTTCCAAACCGGATGCAATTTCTTCACCCGGGTCACGGATGAAAACGGGTTGAATACGTATATGTTATGCGTCGTTTGATTCCCGTCAATTCAGAATCTTTTTGAATTTTCACTGATCAATAAACGAATTTTTTAAAACAAAGAAAAATAAATGGAAGATACTGTATTTCGTTTTTTTAACATATTCTTATCGTTAGATAATATGACAACCGATTTGATCCGGGTCACCCGTTTTGACTCGGGTGACCCGGTTTACTACAAACCGGTTCGGAACTCTATTTCCGAGTTAAATCAAATCGATAAAATGTTGTCAAAATAAGTTTTTACTTTACTAATATTAACCCTTTTCGTTGCACCTGATTTAAAAAATAAAAATAAAATAAAATCCGTAGATATTCATCCATATTGCAAAATTCATGATCGGGTTTTAATATGAAATGAATTAATTATATATAACACTGATATGAAAATTACTCTTTTAGATGATGCTACAGCTTCGTCTGTTTTAAATCATATTTGTGGGTACTGTTGGTAACACTTATTCAAGAATGCTTTATAAAAATAATGGGATGAACTTGGGACCGATTAAAGAAAATTGCTGAAGGAAATCTTGATGAACAAAAAGTATTTTCAAAAAAAGAACATATAGTGAATCAATATTTATTATTTAAAAAATCGGCGCTTTTGGCGTTGGATTTTATTCTATATTCTCAATTTGTGAAGAACCATTGTAAGTTATTTAAGTTTGAATTTACGTTAATAAATCATTCATATCGATATTAAAATTTATTTATATCTTCTGGCATGGCAGACTTGTTATGGCATTTTATTGGCATGATGACCAATTGTTTGCAAGACATGGCCCTATCGAAAACAACGACACTATATGGACCACATTCCTATTAGATATGAGAGAACCCACGCAGGTAAGCATTTTGTTTTTTTAACTGTTAAAAATTTATTTCTAATTTTATTCTTTATTTAAAGTTACCTGACTTAAAACGAATTTAGAAGTCTTTTGGCAACTGCATTGGTATGTTCTTATTCTCATGATTATGGCGAGCATAAATTCACACAATACCTATCCCTTATCATGCATCAATTCTAGGGATTCACCGCCAATCTTCGTCAAATTTCAGTACACTTTAATGAAAATATGATCCGTGTTGGTCATTCTCGATCAATTGAAATCGGATCTGACATAGATAATGAATCTCTAAAAGGAATATTTAAACTTGAATTTGTCAATGTGCATAGTGTTAAATTTGACGCTGTTATCACTCCAAGAGCAGTATCTAATGCCAACTACGTAAAGAAAAGTGCGTCCGTATGTCTCCAAATTGCCAGTGGAAATCTGAAAGTCCAGATCAAGAAAATTTTTCTGCTGAAATGGAGAGGTTAACAAAGAAAAGCCTCCGCGTCAAACCATTATACAAATCATCCTTCCCGGGTATTATGTCATCAAACAACTAGTTATTCTGTTTATTTGGCGGCTCGAGCCATACCAACGGTAAGTAAAAGCCCGCAAATGGTATACGAAGTTTTCTATAACTATTTGTCTACAGGTTGAACGTGAATCGATTGATTTATTTCAAACAACACTTTCTGTATATAATACAGAACTGTTGTAAAATTATGTCGCTTACTATATGAAGATGAAATGAGCCAAATTTCACGAATGTATCGAAAAAAATTGCGTTCAATGACAATAAATCGATGCTTGAAGAACGTTCAGCACACATTCTCAAACATTTTACTTTTAAGCAAAACACACCAGATCTAATGTAGGAAACATAATCGAAAAAATTTTTATGAATGTTGTTCATCACAATTGTCTATATTATCTAATCATGGTATCAAATCTATTAATGAGATACGATTACCCGACCCGGGGATGGTCGCATTTATCAAAACTGGTCCAGTTGTTCCAAAAATCATAGTAGATCAATGTGGTTCATTTTTTTTATAGAGTAAACACTATCCTAAAATTCAAGAAATTCATACAACTGGCCCGTGTATATGTTGACAATAAATACTTGCATTTGAAAAATATTCTTTATTTTCAAAATTCAGGCATTATTAGACCAGGTTTAGATGTTCCATCAGACGTACTGCCATATGCTATTAGCCACCATTTTAATAAAAAGCTTGATAAATTTAGAAAATCATTTAGGTATAGCACTATGTCATAATTCAATTTACTCCTTAGTGTATTTCAATTTTTTGAAATAATTAATAAGGTAGCTACACGACGTCATCGCGCAAAACCAGGAACAGGGAAGTATCTAATATTAAGTGGTTAAAATTTTAGGTTAGAATTATAATTAGTCAAACTTGTCAGTAATAAAAATGCTTAATATGTACTGTTGATTTTTCGCAACGGAGGTAAATTCCGGTTATATAAGGGCCCTTCGGGCCCTCATATGACATTACTACATAATTTGGGTTTGGGAATTGGGATTTCTACATAGTTTAGACATAAAATAAATACCCAAATATATGTCTGCGGCTTATTTCCCTACGGATGTTATTCTTCATATTGTATAATCATATAATTTGTAGTAGTGATATATATATATTTTGATTTACAAATTTCAAATGCATCTTCATACTAGAGGTTGGATCCATGAATATTCACGGTTAAAAATGGATATTTATTGAATATTCAATATTCGGTTACACAAAATTCATGGATAGTTGAGGGTTTGTAATTGATAATTGATTCATGGATATTTGTGTGAATATTTGTTGTGAATATTCATGGTTACAATAATAGATGGGTATCTATTCAAAATCCAGATATTCAGTTCAAAGCTATTCGTAAACATCAAAACCCGCGAATATTTACTGCATAGCCATGATGGATATTCAAAGGATCCAACCTCTAGTTAGCAATGCTAATAATCATGAGCCCAAAGTAGATGAACAAGATAAATCCTTATTAGCTGGAAGTTTTCTCTATCGATTTATTTACTTTAATGTGGCTTTTAAGTATAAAATTCATTTGTTAGTTTGTGTATTTAAATCTCAATTATTTAACTTCATATATTGTCTTAATTCATTTAGTTACAACTCCATTTCATGATTATCGATATTCAATGAATATTCAGCGAATATTCGAATATTCATTTGAAATTTGCTGATGAATATTCGGATTTAAAAAGATAGAACGAATGAATATTCGAATACTTATTTTTCAGACCTCTAAGGAATACACGTCGTTTTGGTTATTAGATTGTAACTTTGATTGGCTTGTAGTCACATGATTTGATACGACCCAATCAGGTCGAAGTTGTGCGTTTTTAACAATTAGACGCGTATTTTAACCAATACATAGAAACATTATAAAAGATTTAATTTCTTTTTGTACAGTACATACAATAAGTTTTTACGAATTAATCCAATAAAACTCGATGATAATTTTACCTAAGCTAGAAAAACCTTTCGTTTCTCCTAAATACAGTACTTTAACACTACTACAATACCCTGTCAATTAAGAGATATCTCAAATTTACAGATAAAATACTTAAAAGTAAACCAATCTCTCAACGTTCTTGAATTACTTTACGAAATCTATGAAACTTAATCAATTGAAAGAGTCAAAATAAGCATGAAACTTCTGAACCCTATAAAGTCAAAAAATTTAGAGTAGGCATTTAAGTTGTATTTAATTCAATATCTTTGACGTATTTTACAGATCTTTTCCGCGATAGTGAATTTGTATTGTTGTTAGCTTGTTTAGTTGAAGAGTCTATTTTACAACAGTCTGCGGTAATTGACTATCTTACTAATTGTGGGCTCAAACTATAATTAATTGCTAAAGGCGTAGGGGTCGTCTGTTTATTTGCGCTGCACTATTTAACTATCTTACTAATTGTGGATTCAAACTATGATAGTTTGCTGTTTTTTTTTTTTCTTCTTTTTTCTTCTTTTTTTTGTATCTATTATTATTTGTGTATTGCCAAATATAGCTCGTTGTAGGCAATATCATTCCCCTTTGTCAAATTTCTCAAGACTACTTTATTAACAAGATTACAAATGCCATTGTCTTTAGCCAATAACAGACAGAAATACTCTACTTGGACAGCTATTTTTTAGACGTGTTCAGAACTTCTTTAGCTTTGCCAAGTAAGTAGTTATTTATAGTTCTTGAAGTCGTGTAATTAAATGTATTTCTATTTTATAATTTATTTATTTAGATCACTGGCAATAACAATTCAATTTTCCATAATTGTAATCTCATTTATAGCCAGAATTACCTCATCTTATGAATCGAGCATAGACGATCTAGTTTAAGCCATATTATGAACTGTTAGTTTGTTTGTTTTTGATATCTATCTGTTGGTTTATTTTGCTTTTTTTTCTTTAACACTATTTTGTATATGAATATAAAGATTAATGATTAATAGTAAGTATAACGCTTACGGAAGATGAAGACCCAGCTGAATTGAAAAAAGCGTTAAAGAGATTCGATTGTTGAGATTCTTCTCCCATTGAGATATCGAATTCCTTATAATAGACGGTAAAAAAACAAAGAGAACAGAGTCACTTGGTTTTCTTGATATAATAATTTTGGGGGAGAACTAATGGAACGACGTTTGTTTAGAGCTTAATATATTTCACAACAAATTTCTAAAGAAGATGGAAGATCAAAGTTAACAAAAAAGCTCCTCGAAAGTAAAAACACAAGCTGATCCCTGATGAGAGATACTACCAGCAATCTAATGAAAAAATAAAATTAGATAATACATTTGAAATGGAAGACGAAAAGCCTTTGCCAAATGAAAGCTATGTATATTGGCAAATAACTATAATCAACCTTCCAAAAGCAAAACAACAAAAGGCCTTAATAAACAATGAACTTTTAAATAAGATAAAGACCATTCTATAGCTATACATAAATAATAGATAATGTCCAACTAAAGAGCGGAAGTGATTTCGTTTAGTGGCCCAATCTGTTCTTTTTTGCTTCGGAATTTTGAAATAGGCTCAAAATTCTGGTTACCAATCGAAATAAAATATAAAAATTTTACACGGCATGACCGAATGTTTTAATCTTGATTCATGTTGAGTCCTATCCTTTTATTTACTATAAGCATTAATGTGAGTAGTGAAGTTACCGCGCCATTGTGATGCGCTGTGAATGTTTTATATTTAATTTCAACTATAGCGTGATAATCTGTTAGATACATAGAATAGTACGAACACAAATAATAAAAATAATATATATTTGTTAAATTTGTAAATTAATAACCCAAATCCTCATAACTTTGGATTTCTTCGAATAATTTTAGCTTATGCTTTCCGGTTACAATAGCATTAAAACCCAATTAAAACAGTTGGTTTTTTGTATATTAGAATTATCATCGCCCTTGGTGGTCTTGTGATAAATTTCATCTGATCAGTGATAGGCAAATCAAAATCAATCAGACGAACAACCAATCAAATTCTATTTCTTTGGCATATTTAGTCGCAAAAAAAAAAATTTTTTCGTCTACGCGTTTGAAATACAAAGTTTTTTTGAATCGAATTATATATATATAAATAAGAATATGTTGGTACTTTTTGAGACAGCAGCGGGCTATGCTTTATTTGAAGTATTAAATGAAGGGAAATTAGAAGACCCAGAAGAGCTTTGGAAAGCATTCGAGACACCACAAAATGCTAGCAATACGTAAATAATTTCACTCTTCATTTTATAAAATAGATATAATTAAATTAATAATGCACACACCATGTATTTTATATTTATAGAATCAAATTAAAATCTTTCAAAAAATTTGAGAATATGGCGTCTGCGGTATCTTCAATAAGCGACGTATTAGAAGGAAAATTATCTGATGATTTAAGTAATTTTTTAAAAGAAACTATCAATGAGACATCAATAAGGAAGGATAAATTAATTGTAGCCGATCCAAAGCTTGGTGGGCATTAATTAAAATCGAATTATTAGATACTTTAAATAATATTTTATAATTACATTATAAATATTTCAATTTTGTAATTTTAGGCGCTTCTATTAGTAAGAAACTCGGCATTCAAGTTCTATCAGAAAAAATTGTTATCGATCTATATCGTGGAATTCGTGAAAACCTCGATTCATTGATTACTGGCATTAATGCTGATGATATATCGTCTATGGCATTGGGACTTTCACATTCTTTATCTCGTCATAAACTTAAATTCTCTCCGGATAAAGTGGATACAATGATTATTCAGGCCATAGGATTACTTGATGATTTGGATAAAGAATTAAATACTTATGCCATGAGAGTTAAAGAATGGTATGGTTGGCACTTTCCAGAAATGTCAAAGATAGTGGTAGATAATCTTGCGTATGCCAAAGTAGTTAAAGCCATTGGTATATATATATATATGTGTTTTTTATTTTTGTATATTTTGATTTCCCACTTTATTTTTTTATGAAACACCCATTTCTATATCTTATTTAGGTTTTCGATCAAATGCCCAAGAATGCGATCTTTCTGATATACTTCCCGAAGAACTGGAAAAGGAAGTCAAAGAAGCGGCAGAGATATCGATGGGAACTGAAATTTCTGATGAGGATATTAATAATATTATAATGGGTTGTGATCAAGTAATAAGCTTAACTGCCTACCGCGCAGAACTTTACGATTATCTAAAAAGTCGCATGATGGCAATTGCTCCAAATTTAACCACTATTGTCGGAGAGTTAGTTGGTGCTAGATTGATTTCACATGCCGGAAGTTTAATAAATCTTGCGAAGCATCCATCAAGTACAGTCCAGATTTTAGGAGCTGAAAAGGCTCTGTTCAGAGCTTTGAAAAACAAAAATGCTACTCCAAAATATGGTCTTATATATCATGCAAGCTTGGTTGGTCAAGCTAATCCTAAAAATAAAGGAAAGGTAATATACTATAATAAATTTTTAATAAATTTTTAATAAATATGGGGAAATAAAGGCTAGATAATGATTAACCGTTTATTCACTATCTAATTACAGGTTGCACGTATGGTAGCATCAAAGTCATCACTAGCTACTCGCTTTGATGCAATAGCTGATGAAAAGGATTTGATGGCAGAACTAGGTAGCACTTGTCGTAAAATGATCGAATCACGGTTAAGATTTTTAGAAAAAGGAGGTGCTCCTGTAACGACTACTGATAAACGGAAAAAACAACAAAAATTTGAACTTATTTCGTATGTATTAATAATCTAAACTCAAAATCTTTTAAATAAACATTATACAATATTTATTATTATTACAATTTAAATATTAGAACGAAGCCACAATACAATCCTTATGCTGATATTGCAAATGAGCCTGTGGAAGCAGGGCCGTCTGGTACAAAAGCAAAAGAGTCTGATGATAGCGATGACAGTCAAATGGAAGTCGACTCAGAAGATACTGACAATGATCCATTATCTAAATCTGAAGGAAAGAAACCAGTTAAAGAGCGAGAAATCAAAGAACAACCAATGCAAATTGATGAACCCGTCGCATCAGATAAAAAGAAAGAAAAGAAAAAGAAAAAATCGGAAAAACATGTATCAGACACTGAGGCCTTAAGTCAAAGTCAGGCAGCAACGGATGTTGAACCAACTGAAAAATCTGTTTCAGATAAAAAGAAAGAAAAGAAAAAGAAAAAATCGGAAAAACATGTATCAGACACTGAGGCATTAAGTCAAAGTCAGGCAGCAACGGATGTTGAAACAACTGAAAAATCTGTTTCAGATAAAAAGAAAGAAAAGAAAAAGAAAAAATCGGAAAAACATGTATCAGACACTGAGGCATTAAGTCAAAGTCAGGCAGCAACGGATGTTGAAACAACTGAAAAATCTGTTTCAGATAAAAAGAAAGAAAAGAAAAAGAAAAAATCGGAAAAACATGTATCAGACACTGAG